CCCCCCGCCGCTGCTTCCTCCCCGGCCAGAGCTCTTGCCGTTTGCCGACGCCCGCTTCCGCCCACACAGCAGCAGCTCAACTGCCTACGATGTACCCGCCTGCCGGGTTCAACACCCCTCTGGACCGCCGGTCAGACAGCCACTCCGTCCCCCTGGCATACTATGCGCACCGCAAGCCTGCTGAAGATCCGAATCAGGCCTATTTGACCATGCTGCAGATGCAGCAGCACCAATACCAGCAGCAGGCCAAGCATGCGCAGTCATCGCCGGCCATGGGCTTCACCGGTGGGCCAGCCTATGCCCCGAATGTCAGCGCCATCCCCACGGTCGGATACTCTCACATCCAGGCCATCCCCCCGCCGCATCATGCGCAGATGGGACCACCGGCCGGGCAAATGTACCCGCCCATGAATCCGGTGACAGCTGCCGCAGCGGCGGCCGCGGCGGCCGCCGCGGCCGCCGCCTACAGCATGCATGCTCCGCCGCCTGGTGGTGCCCCCCCGGGCGCCCCCGCTGGCGCTCGGCCAGTGACTCTTTCTCGTGTTTCTACTTCTTCCACCATGGAAGGGCCAGCCATGGCTCCCCCCGGGCACCATGGAGTAAGTCGTTCCTCGGCTGGCCAGGAGCACGCCTCAGCCGCGTATCATGCCAATGCCGTCCACCGGTCCTCCCTGGGCCACGAGGTTCGTCTCACCATGTTCCTCTCTTTCCCCCACTTGCCGGCTGCCCCGCTGCTGACACTCACTCCCATGGCATCCCTCCCTCCCTCCTCTCCTCTCCTCCATCGTAGGCCGAGTCCGCCCTCCTCCGTGCCTTTGCTTCCAGTGATGCGTACGTTCACCGATGTCTTCTTCTTCTTCTTCTTCTTCTTCTTCTTCCCCAGGGGACCCACCAAGTAGATCGTCTGCAAGCTGCATTTCTGGCTGTTTTCCTTCCCCCTCGCTCTCTCGCTCTCGCTCTCTCTCTCTCTCTCTCTCTCTCCCTCCTCGACTCCCCCCCCTGACCTGTCCTATTTTTCCCCCTGCCGCCTGTCAGCGATCGTAACGGTCAAATATCGACCGAGGAGCTGCAAGCCTCCCTCGGACTCCTGGGCCCGGCCATCCCTGGCGCGCCGCCACTTTCACACCAAACCTGCCGGCTGATGATCCGCCTGTATGATCTCGAACGGACAGGAACCATCAACTTCGGCGAGTTCTCCGCCCTTTGGCGGCATGTGCGCGACTGGAGTCATGAGTTCCAGAAATACGACCACGACCGGTCATTCTGCATCGACCGCGAGGACCTGAGCTCCGCCTTGCAGGGGCTCGGTTACACCCTGAGCCAGGCCTTCGTGCGGATGGTCGTTTCGCGCTATGACACCGCCTGCGCACAGACCGTCTCCCTGGACAACTTCATTCAGATCTGCCTCATCATTCAGCGGTTGACCAATGAGTTCCGCAAGTTCGACACCAAGAAGGTGCGCACATCCGCCCTGCCGCGCGCGCACCCATTGCTGCGCACTTCCCCACGCCTTCCCCTCCCCTCTACACACTTGGAGCCCGCTCTCCCACTTCTCTCCCTGTCCTCCTTCGGATTTTTCATGCTCACACACACACACACACGCTCCCATGCCCGGAATTTCCTGTCTCCCCTCCCCCGATGTTAGAATGGCTGGGCAAACTTCCCATACGAGCAGTTTCTGTGGGTCTTCTTCGACATGCTGGGCTGATGGCGGCACCCTGGCGTCCGACGCGCCTTCCCTTGTCCTTCTTGCCGTCGTCGCTGTGTTATGCCCGCTGCCGCCTCCCCCCCCCATTCCTTCTCCACCTGTCCATCTGGGCCCGCCGGTCGGGCTTTGGCGCTTCATCGCATCACGTCAATGGGTGCCTGGGTGTGGATACGCACATGCACACGCCCATGCGCGGCTACATGGTCCTTCTCCTTTCCTTCCGGATGTATATGTGTCTCTGGACATTCGGCAGAGAGAGGGACAGAGAAAGGGACATGATAGCGCCGAATGGAGGAAATTCGAACAGCCATGCTCCCTGAAGCATGGCCTCATCCCTTCGCCCGTGCAGTCTGTGCCGGAGATGCCTCATAACTTGCATCTGGGCACGGACGTGTGGGGTCGATTAGCCCGTGGTGTTTCTCTTCGCGCCTGCCTCCCCCCCCCCACCCCCCCTCTGCCGCACATGCGGGCTCCTCTACACATCCTCCTCCCCCTTCCCCCCCCTTTCCCTTGCCTCGCTCAAGCTGTACTTTTATTGCGGCTCTGGCGCGCGCGTGGCCCCCGGCCACTGTTGCGATCGTCATGTCCCGCCCCTTCTCTTCGAGCTCTGGCCCCCCCCCCCTCCCTCCTGGTCTTGCGCGCGTGCCCTGCCGCGCACAGGTGCCCATCCCTCCCCCACCTCCATGTTCCTCGTGTTTAGATCCATGTAATACACACGAGATGCCAACGCACATTGAGCCCCGCCTGTTTTCCTCCCCGCCGCCGCCGTGCCTCCGTCGTCTTTGCTGCGTCGGCCATCGGGGATGCCTCATTCGCCGTGGGGGGGGGGGGGGGGG